CCTTGTTTTAACTTCCTAACACTAACTCAGTTGGGAGTGTTTATAAGACAACTGCCTGGGACGAGATTCTGTAATACCTACATGAGCCATGCAGAGGGCATGTGTGGTGGTGAAACTGGCATGGGTAAAGGCAGGCTGAGTGAGGAAGAGATGGGACCCTCGAGCTGGCACAGAAGCAGCCGCCCTCCCTGGCACAGCCAGCGCCCTATTTTGTGCAGGAACAATAGGCACCATCCTTGCAAATGGAGGGCTTGCCTACTGTCTCCCTCCAGGACCCAGGGCGAGTGCCGACGCTCTGCAAGAGGAGGCGGGCTGCTGACTCACTGCTTCTCAGGGCACGCAGAATCCAGCCAGGGTAACGGGCTGAGAGTGAGCCGCCGCCCTGCGCACCCGGAACACAGCATTTCTGTGAGCAGATCGAAGGACAGACATGAGAACGGCAACTTTTGGATGCTGTAATGTGAACACAGCTGCTCTAGGTTTTATAAAAACAGAAGCTGAAACTGGCTTGCTTCATGAATAATATTAGATCTTTTCTTCTCTGAAATTCTCAGGCCATTACACTGAAAAGAATATTATTTCCCCATGTAAAAGTTTATATGGAAAACATATTTATTGTGACACATTTATTATAATAATCTCACAAAGTACAGAAAGGGTCGTAAAAATCACCCAAATCTCATTCCCAGAATCACTTGCTCTGTTTTGGTGAACCTCTTTCTACAAGAATCTCCAACAAGTTACAGCTACAGCTGCATCCAGTGGGCATTCCATACAACTCTTCTGTTACTCGCTTTCTAAATGCAACCATATGTAATGTACTTCCTCCATGTCAAGAAATATCGGTCCACGTCATTATTTCCTACGATTCGTACTACCTCACTGAATTAAGCATAAGAAAAAGAAACCTATTTTATCAGGCCTGTCTTTCTGTATAATTTGCCTACCATAAGCAGTCCTTTTAGGACACCTTTGTGCGTAACTTTCACACCTGACACCCAACTCCTTAGGATAAACTCCTGTTACCAAGATACGAAGACGCTCCCTCCACTTCGGGGTGCCCAGCTAACCTCCACCCCACGTGCTGCTCCGTACACACCCTTCGCTAGTCAGTTCATCACGGAAATGCCACGCCTGCCTTTGTGAGGAAGGAGACCCCCACTCTTAAGTTAATCTAAGACCACTTCCCCCTAGCCTTCTACGTTGCATTTCAAAAGGAAAAGTTAAAAGTCAGCCAGAGGAAGGACCGGTTGGCTCACAGGCCAGGTCTAAAGGTTGAAGATTAAAACCCCCACACCTACTCACAATCAATCTTTAGATCACGGGCGTGGTATGGAGGAATTTGCCCCAGAAGGCACTGTTCTTGCTAACTGCTCAGACCCCCACCTAGTCACGCCCCCCACGACCCTCTCACACGTGCACCTCTTAGACTGTAAGCCTCTAAAAGGGCCAGGGTTTTCTTCGTCAGGAGCTCGGCTGTTGAGGCACCTCCGCCTGCCGCAGCTCCCGACAAATACAGTGACCACTTCCTTCCCTGTCGGGTGTGGAGAGTTTGTTTGCGGCGGCTCCTGCTTCATTTACACACGACCACTGGCCTTTGCGTTTCTTCTTTCATAAATTACCTTTATGACTTTTCCCACTTCCTTCAAAGGTGGCTCTTTTTTATGTTAATTAATATACATTATGACCTATATTTTGATATATTAGAGGGTTTTAAAAAAATTATTTGAGTTGACAACAATTTTTCCAGTTTGTGTGTGGCTTTTCTGTTTTGAAGAAAAAAATAACTTCTGAAGTATCAGGGGAAAAGGGAATGATAAAATAATTCTGCCAAGCGAGGGAGACACAGGAGCAGTGAAAGAGCTGGGGACAGACGGCAGCTTCACACTGAAGCAGGCCCACGATGACACTAGACAGAAATGGACTCAAATCTCAAGGGAAGAGACAAAGAATTTTAAACTGGGTGGCAAATCTTCAGCTCTATTTTCCTAGGAGATGCAAAAGGCACAAAAGGCTACATTAAGCAGCAGATGAAAGGACTCAGCAAGCAGCATGCAAAGGTGCCCAGACCAAGCCAGAGAGCCCAGTGAAATGCTGGCCAAACAGATTTGAAGCAAGTTGTTAAAAGATTCAATTCCGTGAAAAGGTAAGGCCATGTTAAGATGAGAGACACTATCAGCAGAGCCTCAAAGGCAGTTACTTAAAGAAACACAAAAGAAGAGAATGAGAAGCTCTGGGAGGAACGAGGAACCCCTGGGCGCTCGCTGTGGGGGTCTCGCCAAGTGCCTGGCCAGCCTGCACTGAAACCCGACGAACTCACAGTCTGAGCAGAGGCAAGACGTTTCTAGAAACACGCGCGGTGGGCCATGGAGCGCGTCTCCGCAGACTTCCCACAAATGCACGCATCTGGGGACGTGCTCAGACCACGGCACAGCTCAGCAGCAAAGTGTAAACTCCATACAGTTTGTTTTCATAAACACACTTCTGTAAAATATTTAAAATGGAATGGAAATGAAAATATACCCTACCAAAATTAGGGAAATGCAGCTGAAACAGAGATCAGAGAGAACTTTACAGCATTAAATACACATGAAAAGAAAAAAGCTGAGAAGAAAATAATCCACTTCAGAAGTTACAAAGAGAACAGTAAAATTAACAGCAAGAATGCAGAAACTGAAAATAATGCGCAGAAATTAAGTAGAAACCAAAGACACCAGAGTGGCCCACGAAGCTGCAGGTCACTCAGAAATATAAACGTTACCGACAACCTCTATGAGGCTCAGCCAGGAAAAAACAAAAGGCACATACGACCATCAGCAAAGAGGGTGTCACTGTGAACCCCAGACACCGAAAAAACCTGGAAGATATCTGAGCCACATCTCCAGGCCAGTAACTCTGAAAGTCTAGGCAAGACAGTCCAAGTTTTAGAAAAAACACAACCCACTGGCTCAAGAAGAAATCTGAATGTCCTGTACCTACTAAAGGAAACGAAATCTTGGCTGCCCACTTTCCCGAAACAAACCTGGGCCCAGAAGACTTCCCTGCAAGTTTCACCAGGCAAGAAACAGGAATCCCAATCCCACGCCTTCTCTTCCAGAGAACAGAAAATGTGGGCATTTCCCAACGCTCAGTGAGCACAACCTGACAGGAAGACCCAAGAAGGGCAGTATTTAAATTAAAGCCCAGTATTTAATTCCCAAGAAGGGCAGTATTTAAGGCACAGCATTTAATTTCCCAAGAAGGGCAGTCTTTAAGGCCCAGTATTTAATTCCCTCAGATCCACCTCGGAAGACGGGGGTCTGACCAAGAAACGTCATTCACACATCCAGGTTTACAAAAGCAGCATGGTAGCCCAACACATGACGAAAAAGCAACTGGCACATTAGAGATGGGGGGTACCTCTGTAGCCCAGGGTGGAGCTTTGGGGCCTCACCTCCCACCAGCGGCTCCCCAGGGGCTGGCCTGGCTCCTCCCTTCTCTCCCCCTCCCAGCGGCCCCACCCCCTTGCCTCTCCCCATCCCTGGTTACTCTGCATCCACATTTCTGACTTCCTGGCCTGGGTGCTGTTCCGTCTGGGCCCTGGTGGGGAGAGCTCACTGGGTGCTGTTCCGTCTGGGCCCTCGTGGGAACAGCTCACAGATGTCTCCACGGTTCTTTAGAATCCGGGTGGCATCGATTTATTCTATCGCATCTGTCTCTGTTTTGTTTTCACGCCACTCCAAGAGGCAGCTTCAGCCTCCTTCCACCTCCACCTGCCCCACCCAGAGGCCTCTAGGATCCCTGCACCCCTTCTTCTTTCTCCCCACCTCCCAGACCTGCCAACTCAGCACCCAGGGCAACATGATCGAACTGTCCCTGCAGCTAGGGGAACGCAGCCTCCCATGCATGCCTGGGTAGCTTGCCACCGGAATGAACCGGTTCCCACTACCGGCTGCTCCTGCCTCGGCCTCCCTCCCACAGTCAGGGCACCAGGTCTGCTGGGTAAGGCCCTCTCCTCAAGGTATTTCCCCAGTGGGGTCCAGGATGACACCCTCTGAACTCTCCCACATCCAAGAACGGCCTCCTCTCAGAATCAGGCATTTCACTTTGGTTATACGTGGGATTCCGGAAGACTGCGGACACCGTTTCACTCTTCTGGCCTCCGGCGTCGAAGACAAAAGCTGGATGCCTGATTGCTGCGCTTTCCACTATAATGTCTTTTTCATCCATAAGCTTAAAAGGTTTTCTTTTCCCTAGACTCTGAAGTTTAGAGCTTATTCTTTGTTAAACCAGCATCTACCTGGTTGTCTTCTCACCAATTCTGCGAGGAGCCCGGGGAGCCCTGTGATCGGCGCTTTCCTTGCATCGGGACATCTGTGTCTGCGGTTCCCGCCTCACCTTCCCTCCCCTGTGGTATTTCTCCTCTGGAATTCCCACTCCTCAACGCCAGACTCCTGGATCATTCTAGCAAGCCTCCTTTCCCTCTCAAAACTTCTACTTTTATTTTTGTGTTACACTACATTATAAACCTCTTTTAAAAACGTAATGTCCTTAATTTGGCCAGTACGTGACTTCAGTACCATCAAATCAGTGCTTCAATTCTTGGGTTTTAAGATTGGAGCTGTCAACGTAAGGACTAGGATGCAGAGTCCAGCTCTGCAGGCGGTGACAGGAGAGACTGGCCTTCCCATCGGACCAGCTGAGGCCCGCCGCTGCTCCTGCACTCACAACTCAGGAAACCCTCGGCTCGGCTCTCCGAAGCACAGCTGCATCTGCACAGCAAGCGCACTTCTTCTCCCTGCCTGCCCCTGCCCGTTCTTGCAGCGCACATGGCCCCAAGGGTGAGAAACAGAATCAGCCAGGAAGGCACATGGCGGCCTGCAGGAGGCGGCTGGGGCTCACACGCGGAGGCCGCGGGACGCTGACTCAGGAGTGGACACTGCTTCCTCCCTCATGTCTTCTAGTGCCCATGTGGATTTTCACCCCCAAAGCCCAGCCCATGAAAGACACAAACATACACATTTCAGCCACTGACAGCAACATGGAATACCTTTATTCAGCACCAGGAATATCCTTCACACACAATCGGCGAGCCTCCCGCGCTCATCTTCCCATGGAAATGCTCATGTGGACGCTGCAGAACCCCCGCGTGTCATGGCTCTAGCGGTGGCGCTGTCTGAACTGCAGCCCACAGTAACCACACGTGCCCGTTTTTGTCTCTTTGTCCTGAAATAATTCAAAAGGAATGATGTCGTGTTTCCACATTCTACTTCCAATCTAGATATCACACATCGAAAATGTACATGTAAAACTTAAGTCAGAAACACATAAAAATACAGTTAGTGCCGAAGAAAGAACGGAGACGGTCAGCCTCGCTTTCCCCAACTGAAGCCCCCGGCCTCAGACTCCCACCCGGGCTAGGCAGCCACCCCACCGGACCCCCAGGGACATCGCCATTAGCTGCAGCTATGACCCACGCACCACCCACACCTCACCCTCCTGGGCTGCGGCGGGTGTTGCGCAGGACCATGAGGCGCACCCAGGCAGGGTCCACAGCGCTGGGGCCCAGGAGAGGGCAGCCGGGTGCCCAGTCCTGCCCTGGGCTGCTTCACCATTTATGCCTGTTACACTGCCCCCTTTCAGGGACAGGCACCAAGGTAATGGCAGCTTTTAATGAAGGTCGGCTCTAACGAAGTTCAAGTCCTGTAGCAGGAACGCCAAGCCCGGCAGCCGCCCGAGTCCCTGAGTGCTCCCTGGCGCCCTCCTCCCTGCACCCCAGGTCCGCAGCCCAGCTTCAGCCACGACGTCCCTCTCTGTACATGACACTCATCAACAGGCATAAAGGATTACACAAGGACTGTCACAACATAAACTGTGCCCCTCAAAAAGTCCTGGCCCCTAGCGTGACTGCATCTGGAGCTGGGGCCTTTAAAGAGGCAATTAGGGTGAAATGAGGTCATACAAGGGCCCTGGTCCAATCTGCCTGGTGTCCTCCGAGAGGAGATGAGGCCGGACACCCATGAGGGGACAGTCCTGTGAAGACACAGAGACGAACCCTCATCCGCGAGTCCCGGAGGCCCCAAGGAGGAACCAACCGAGTGGCGCCGTGGCCTTGGACGGCGGCCCCCAGTGCCGTGGGAAGCACGTGTCTGTTGTTTCTGGCCTGGCTGGTGGTGCTCTGTGTGGCAGCCTGAGCTAAGATGATGACCGAACCGAGAAGAGCCAGAGAGGACGCAGACGCCCGAGCAGTCTGAGAAGAGGAAGGTGGACATCCAGCCTGACCCAGCGAAGCACGCCGTCCACCGCTTCGCAGCTGGAAGGGGTTCTCGGACACGCTGCTGTGGCCAGGCCCTGTACTGTAGGGCCGCGGGGTGAATGTGCCAGCAGCGTGAACCCCGTAAGGGCTGCTTCAGGAACAGATAGAGAAGGGGGCAGAAAGAACAGGCACTGGGAGTGAAGGGGAGCGTCAGGACCCGCAGGCCGCGCTAGAGTGCGCGCAGGTGGGTGGCTACGCACCAAGTTGATGTATACTTTCGGGTGGCCCAGCGCGCCCCCGCCGCCATCGCACGAGATGACCCGAGTCTCCACCTCGCTCACCGGCTGCTCTGCTATCAAATCAATGCCAAAGTTTTCATTTACCTGGAACAAGAGAAACACTTACATAAACAAATACACAAACTTGCTAACTTCATACAATTTAAGCCCCCCACACAAACCCATGTACCATGAGCACGGATCTATGGTGCCTGCTTCACGTAACTATTATTATCATAGACCTTCATGACTCACAGGTAATTAAATTTAGGGTCTACACACACATTTACTTTTCACTGAAATGAATGAAAGTTTATTCCAAATAAGTTCTGAACTTGGAGAAGTGCTGCAAGGAGCAGAGCAGCAGAGGCTTCCCTCGTCCCCGTCTGACTCGGCACGTGCTGGCTGCCAGGCGCCTGTGGCTCTGCGTGCCCTCCTCTCCCCACAACTGCCCCGTCCCACCCGGAAGCACCTGCACCGCACAGGCTCCAGCGTGCGTGTCCTAAGAACATTCTCTCACCAGCCTCCATGCGGTCTTCCACCTCAGTACTACGGAATACCGACTGGAACAGCTGTATCTAATAAAATGCCGAAAACACCACCCGCGCTGCAACCACGAGACCACAACGTCTCTCCGGCTTTCCCAGTTCTGAACACTGCTTAGGCCATTCCTAAGTGTTTTCTCCTGTTTGCTGCCACCGTACACCGGGTCTCCCCATCCACTGTCTTCTACCTGGTCATTTATGACTTGCGGGAAAGACCCTGGTAATTTCACCTCCTGCTTGTGTGCTAATTCTTTTGAGTTACAATCAAAATGGAATGAAAAAGATGTCTCCATACCACCGTGGGGTGAAGGAGGACACAGGACTATGTGGAAACGCCGCAGTACGGAGGCGGGCAGAAGGCTCCCCTCACCGGCGTGGGGAAGGCGAGGGGCCAGCCTGCATAGTCACTTACTTACACAACACCCAAAGGAGAAACCACGGAACAGTTACTACTGTGAGAAGGACATGAGCATGACGCTTAGTCTTTCTTTGAAGTTTTATAAATTTGACTCTGAAATCATGTTTTACATTTTTCAAAGTCATAAAACTAAACTTTTAAAATGACAAAAAGGAGACAAATGAACCTAAGGAATTCCAAGAAACTGTAAGAGAGAGTAACAGGAACATTTCTAACAAGACACACCTTAAGAATAAAACCACTTCCAAGGCAAATGAAACTACTATTGAAACATCAGGGACTTTCAGTGTGAGGAAGGAACTAGAGATGTCAGCTCACTGGCCTGGCAGAAAGAAGTCTCACGATCCTGAATTGAGTGTGGAAGGGTCCGTGTAACTCATCCCGCACCTGATGACCACACACACCCCTCCTAGCTCCATCCCCAGGACTATGATGAACCCTAGTGGCAATGAGCGCCCCGCTGCCCACACAGTGGTCTCTAAACACCCTTTCATACCAAAGGGAAGGGACTGGGTTCTTTCAAAAATGCCTGATTCTGGGTCCAGGGCAGGAAATGGTACAGGATGAACTGCAGACACTGTACTTTCGGCACAAGTCAAGGAAGTTTTAAAGGCAACTAAGGTTGTGTCAAGAGAGGAGTCAACCTGGGGAAACCTGCCACATGGGATGATCTGGGATACTGGAAATTGGAAGGACAAGGGGCTTTTATAACTGCAAAGGACAGAAACACAAATATTTACACCCATGATTCCTAAACATGTTTTAAAAAACTCATTAATTACCTTACTAGGCACTACTGGTTTGCATGAGCTCCCCTACAGTTCCTGTCTTGGAAACTTATTCCTCAATGCAACAGTGTTGAGAGATGGGGCCTCTTGAGGTGCTGAGTTCACGAGAGCTCTGCCTCATGAGGGATTCTGGCTGCCCTCACAGGTGGTGGCCGGGCTCCTGGTGGAAGGATGAGTTCAGTCCCCCTTCATGCACACTCTCCAGGCCTTCCACCTTCCACCCTCACCAGACATGGCCTCAACCATGCACCTCCCAGCCTCCAGACTGTAAGAAACAAATCTCTGCTCTTTATGAATTATCCAGTCTTAGGTAGTCTGTTATAGCAACACAAAACAAACAGGCACTAGAGAATCAACCCATTAAAGGCTGGTAAATAAAGAGAAAGAATCAAGTATTTCTTCTGATTTTCCTACAGAAACTTTACCTCAGGACCAAACTTTCTTTTGATATAAGTATTCAACCTAATAAGACAGATCGTATCATCATTTTACAGCCCTTTATGAAATCACAGATGCAGGATATAATGATCAAAGTCTCTTACTACAACCAGAACCGATCATGTACGCTGTGGCTCCCTATGGAAGGAACATCACCTATACAGCAGTGGCACCAGAGACAAAACGCCAACCCTCAATCTGATCCAGCCTCAAGATCCAACTAATTCCCAAAACACTGCAGAGACCAGAGCAAGTTCACTAGCACGACAGTGATGTGGTCAGGAGGTTCCAGCTGTGGGGACTCGACAGGAAAGGATGTGGGCGCTCTCACGAATACATTTTCCATGAGAAAAAGAGACAGAGCGGGAGGTCCATGGAAACCCACAGATTAAAAGAGACTTAAGAGACACCAACATGCTGCAATGCAGGAGCGTACTTGGGCTCGGAGTCGCGCCATCACATTTAAAGCCATGCATGACCAAGAACATTTAACGCCACTTAGATACTTAGTTTAAAGGAATTATTGTAACTTTAAGGTGTAATACTGCTGTCATGTTAACATATTTTATTAGTTACTATTATTTTGCTTCCCTGTAAAATCCAAATGTTAGTATCTTTTGACTGTATAGTTAATCCTTGAACGACTCAGGGGTTGGGGGACCACCCCCAAGCGCAGTTGAAAATCTGCCGTAACTTTGGACTCCCCCCGCAACTGAACTACTCACAGCCTGATGCTGACCAGTCTTTACCAATAACATCAACAGACGATTAACACATATTTTGCATGTCACAAGTACCAAATACTGAATTCTTAGAATAAAGTAAGCTAGGGGAAGAAAATGCAGTTAAGGAAATCGCAGGGAAGAGAAACTGTATCGACTGTCATTAGGTGGAAGTGCGTCCCCACACAGGTCTTCACCTCGTCGTCTTCACATCGAGCAGGCTGACGAGGCGGAAGGGAGGGGTTAGTCCTGCTGTCTACGGGTAGGGGGGACGCAGAAGCAAAAGAAAAGCCACTTGTTAAATGGACTCACAGTTCAAACCTATGTTGTTCAAGGGTCAACTTATACACAGATAAATTTAGACTCGATAAACATGATGTCAAAGTTCCACTTTAACTTACTAGCGGCTGGTGGGGCCGGGGTGGAAGCAGAGCAGAGCTGAAGTCAGACTGGCCACTCTGACACCTATCTCGGTTGGTAACTGTTGAAACTGACTACCTGGGTACATGGGAAAGGGAATCCTTAGACCACCCCTCCGCTTCATAGTTTATGCTTTTTAAAAAGCAATAAAACATCCCGGCTTGGCAAATAATGTATTTTATGATGCGCATAATGGCAAATTTGGGAACCCAGAAAGGAGACATGCCTTGATTTCCTCTGACTATAATGAGCCAGCCCGGGTCAGCTGCCGCTGGGAATAATCAGTGAGCAAGTGCCAGGAAGACAAGGCAGGGAGCACAGGGGAGGCCACGGGAAGTGGAGCACTGGCGTCTGCGCATGCAGAGGGAAGGAACTCCACTCTGCACCCCAGCAGGTCCTGACGTCCAGGGATGGGGGTCTACCAGCATGTCCCCTCCTGGACGGCCAGCTCCACTGAGCATGACACAGCCCTCCCTCCACCTCCAACGCTGCCCGGGGGTTCTCCGGCTTCACAGCACAGCCTGGAACCGTGCATTCCTCCTACAGTCCCCGCCTCAGAGTGGAAGCAGCCACAGGGTTCGTCACCAAGTCACCCACCTCTGGAGGCCAGAGACTCATTCAACGCCAAACACAGTCACAGAGAACACACACAGTGGGAGGCAGACACCACTCTTTCCCTTACAGATACATTTTGGAAAGGTTTATTTTTCAACAGGTTCTGTCAGTTACAGATGACCATTCTGTAAAGTTTTCCTTGAAGATCTATTTCCAGAAACACAGAAGGAAGTTAGTGGAAATGAAGCCACATTAAAGCAGGAGCCCTGAGCGGGGCAGGTGCTGCCAGGCTGTTTCTCATGCTCCTGCGACACAGGCCTCTGCTGCCGGCCCGGTGGCTCGCCTCATACCAGCACCTCCAGCGGGCTCAGAAGTGAGCGATGTTCTGCTCACCCCTGCTGCAGGCGAGGAAACTAACCAGACAAATGAAGCCTTATGGTGTAAATAATATGGTGTCTGCCTAAGTGACAAACTGCCAGGCCCCAATCATGACACTCAGAGACCGGCTACCTCCCCGCAGGGAGGGCAGCTGACGCCTCGACACTGGTGACTGACGTGGGATGCCCTCCTGTCATTTACCGTGCACAGCTCAAGGGTGACCCTGACGGCCCATCATGAGCAAACGTCTAGCTCCAGGAGCTCAGTGCAACTGCAGGAATACAAAGACCCGGCAGTGAACGCACCCAGCCACAACAAAGAGCCTCGCTCCACGTTCAAACCCAAGGCTCCAACTCACTGGACGCTCCAGGTTCTCAAGACTCCATTCTCACCTGCTTCCACCTGGGGAAAGGTAAGGAAGACTGAGGAGCACTGCTTTCACAAGGGAATCCCGGGACAACTGCCACAGCAGCCCGCACGCCATCTCTCGTTAAGCACGTGGTGCACCACACAGTGAACTGTCCAACCACTGCCAAACGCATCCTCTGCACGTCATTAACGTAAAAATAGGAAACTCTTTCCACTGACCTCTTGATCATCAACCAACTGGGCATAAACACATTTAGGTTTAAGTCTTTAGGAGTGAAAGTTCTATTACATCAAACTGAGATTACAATTATTAGAGATAAAATATAAAACGCATGATTCTGTGACACACCATCAAAACCAATGCAAAAGGGAAATAACCCCCAAGCCGGATCATCGATGTTCTGTAGAACGCCTACCCCGTGAATGCAAATTTATAGATTCAGAACATCGGGCATTTTTAACATTAATGCCA